CTTTGTGATGTCTGGCATCGCTGCAATGGCAGCTCCATCACCCCCAGCGTTCACACTTCTGGGCGATCCTGCATTCCAGTCAATTGTGCGCTTGGGATCCTAAGTGTCCCCATCTTGCTTTGGAGGCCACTGAAGTTTAAACCACCATGATGGTTCCCAGATATTTTATTCCGACGTGGGGTGTTACCTCCCTTGGGGCCACGGCCCAGCCTACCAGACAAAAGGCCTGCATTGTCAGGCAAATCGCATACCACGCCCATTCAGTAGGCATTGACGTGGGGAGATAAAATCCGCATTGGGATGAAGAGGCTCATTGAACTCAGATAATAATAATGGGATCGCTCGGAAGGACGGGTGCACCCAAAATGGGATGGGACAGAGTATGCTGGCAAGATGGTGAGAAAGAAGGAGGGCGACGGCTGGGGCAGGTGTATTAAATAATAACAGCAGCCACAACACAACAAGGCCTGGATGGGCACATTGCCTACCAAAGGCATCATCAGCTACTGGGTCACAAGACTTTCGAGTAGTACCACAAACGGCCTAAGTGCCAGTCATGGTACTATGCAGTACCCACATAGTTAGAAACGGAAGATGCTAATAATTGCACAACCATTTCTGGCGGCCTATCTCCGGGCCGAAGATACATTTCCCCCTCGAAGCTCCAATTAATTCTGCGAATGTGTTTTTTAGGGGTGGGCTGCAGGCTCCTGGAATGAAGCAAGTCGCAAATCTCAAAGGGAAAAGGGATATAAAGAATAAAATCAAGGGCTTGTCATTTCCAGGTAAAGGGCTAGGTCGGGACTAAGGAGAGATATCTACTAAGGAAGGGCATCATTCGCATCCCCAAGAGAAATAATAGCTCCAAGGCAGGAAGTCTAATGACCATAGCCCATACACACTGTAAAAAAAAAAAAAAACATATCACAGTATCACCAAATTGCTCAAGCACGGATTGCTCCATGCTACAGACCTTCTCCCTCACACTGCTCTGTCTGACTGACAGCACAGATTCTTGATTCTTGAATACTAGTTGACTGCATAAATCTAGATAGGAGGAACCCATATTGTGCACCAGCGGATCGGCACCTGCATGAGTTTCCTGCCTGATCTACATATTTTCCATAATTTTTACTATTATTATTATTTTTAATAAATAAAACAGGTCCTTATGGCCCCGGCTCCATTTCCATTCTGGGGAGCATCAGTCCGGTTCCTATTCCACTGGCAAGTCAGAACAAAACATTACATCATGAAACCCACTCACACTTCCTTCCGTCCGGCCGGAGGATCCCTGACCAGCATTGATTACTCCAACATCGTGGAGAATTGGCTGTCAGCTTGCCTTACTTCCTCCTTTCCTCTCAGGTCAACTGCATGACCTGTCAGATAAATAATAAAAATCAAGAAAGGTAAAAGAAGCCACTGAAGATTCAACATCGGATTACGCCCTCCAACATTATGTGACCTGTGATGAAGCTAGTCCTTCTGCTGGCTGGGAACTCTGCTTTCTCCTCCCTGCTTCTAATTGTGCCAGTCTTTCCACCGTATGCGAGAGTCGATTACCTCTACCACTTTGCCCCTTGCAAACCACACCTTAGTGAAATTTGCCTTGGTTCTCTTCTGTTGCTCTTTGTCATCCGGCATGGATTGTCTTGTCTTATGCCACTTGCAAAGAATCTCCGCCTGAATCAGGGTCCTTGTCTCCGCCCATACCTTCTCCCTTGGAGTTGAGAGTCCCTCAATGGTTCTGCAGCACCTTTCCCTCCAGATGGACCACAGCGTTGTCTTTTTTTTTTTTTTTTTTTTTTCACCACAAATTTGGCACAAAAGTAAAACCTGCCATATATTTTCCATAAATTAATATTTGCAGAAAACCATACCTGCACACCGTTCTGCAGACCTGCCGAAGGGAGTCCATTGCGCCGAGATCGCCGCGTGCGATCTTTCTAGTCTTCCCAAGATGATGATTACGTGTGTCATATTTGTCTTGTTGCGTCGCCAGGGATATTTTTCTGTCAGTGCTGGCCGATACCTTCAGTTTCTTCTGTAGAAGGTTTCAGTCCCACATGTAGAGGGGCCCTTCCATGGGCATATGTGTACTCTTCCATTATCTAGGCCTTACATTCATCTGCAATGAACCTCCTAGTTCAACACCAGTGAGCGCACATATTCACACCACATCCATGTATGTGTACACACGAAATTCACACTGGAGACCAGAGAGATTAAGACCAGGTAGCGCAGCTTATCACTTCCAGAAAGTATTACAAGAGCAATAAGAGTTCAAATCACCAGCGCTCATCAGCGCGTGCCAAAGGTAACCAATAATCAGCATAAGCTCTCAGGTAAGAATCTCTTCCCCTCTGCTCTTCTCTCTTATGTAACTCTCCACCTTGCTGGTCTTCTCCTTAGCTATGTCTCGCTGTGTCTTCTCTCCCTTCATGCATGCACACTCACTAACTTCTAACTTCTATTCGAGGATCTACTCTGAATACACCCACTGTCAACTCTACTAACCCCTCTGGAGTCTACTACTAACAACTAGCACTAACTCTTCTGCACTGGTGCAGCTATGGCTGCCTTCTCCCTGCCAGCGCTATCTTCCTCTCTCCCCCTCACTTAGTGCAGCACTCTGTCTTCAGCGCTCTGCTCCTCACTTCAGCGCACAAGTGCACCAGCACTTCCACACTTCTTGTGAATGAGCCCTCTCCCCGAATGGTAGGCTGGCCAGTCCTTTTGTAGTCTTCTCTTCAACTCCTGCCAGCCTCTGCTTTCTGGGACCTGGCTGGTTCCGGTACCACATCCCCACGGCCTGTCTGCTTCTGAATGCCAAGGCCTGGAACCTTCCCGAATTTCCTTTGGTCTGCTGCTGCTTGGGCCTTTGAGTCATGACTTTTCACTTGTGAAGTTGTGAACATGACTTTTGACTGTAGACTGTGACTCCTGCCTCTGGAACACAACTTTTGCCTGCGGAACTACCCTTTTACTCGTGGGATGTGACTCTTCAATATGATTTTTCATTATGAGACGTGACTCCTGCCTTTGAGACATGACTCTTGCTTGTGAATCTGCCTTTTCACTCGTGGGATGTGACTCTTCAAAATGGCTTTTTATTATGAAACGTGACTCTTGTCCCTGAGATGTGACAGTTTGCTGGGTGCCTGTTGGACCAGACTGCTGAGGTACCCGACTGTGACTTTTCTGAGTTTGACGAACTCAGCCTTTTCTTGACCAGGGCATCTGACCCTGAGATCCGAATTTGGGGTCTGAATCGTGGAAGGCCTTTCACATCTTGTGACCCGTTTCCAAAAACCATGTAAAATGAACTCAGAGAAGGGAGGTACCCGAGCGGGTATCACTCTACGTCAGGCTGTACCTACAGGCGACGGAGGCCTATCCTTGATCCTGCCCCCTGTAGCAATCTTCTACCTTCTGGGCCAATTCGGGCATTTCGGAGAAACTTGCCATACGGAAGTAAGCAAAAGTTCAGTCCGGGTTTTGAAGGGGGAAAAAAAGAAAGTTTGGTCGGGTATCCCGCCCCTGTAGTGTCAAGAATGCGAAGGTCAACAGATGTACTGGTGGATTAATACATCGGCTTTCAAAACCAGTAACCTGTGCAGGTCAGCACGTTTTCCTCTTGGCAATACTCAAATGGACAAGATGATGTGACGCGTAAACAACCTCATCCTTAGCTCATAAGTTTTGCTTTTGTTTTTCAACTGGTCGGCTGCACCGCTACCAACTTGAGAACATATATAGAATGCCCTTTGCATCAATCCTAGGCACCAGCAGTGGCATGCTGGCTGAGGTTCTTGTACAATGCAGAGTGCTTCAGAAGAATGTCTTTTAGTTCATTTGCGTTGACGCAGGCAGAGTCTCAAAGCGAGGCCACTAGCACAGGTGCAACTACTCTGAAGCATTCATCCTGAAGCTGAGCAGCTTCCGCAGTTACGGTGTACTTTGTTTTTTTCCTTTCCAATTGTGGAGCAATCTCAGCAAGTCCTCTCCGAGAGCAGTCATAGCACTAGGAATCCCTCTGTTCTATTCATATGAAGTTTTGAACCAGCTCGGAGAGGAGTACTGCCTTATTCCCCTAACGTAAATCCCTCTGTTCTATTCATATGAACCAGCACAGAGAGGAATCCCTCTGTTGTATTCATATGAACCAGTACGAACGTATACTGGCTCTGTCCTAGCCTGAGTACAGTGATGATACTAAAGTGCTATGTTCGAGGGAATAACATTGTGTACTCTCGGAGTGAGCTTTTGTCATGTTTAATAACTTCACTACTATTGACGCTTGCATCAACCCACACATTTGGGTATTGCAAACTGATTACTGGTTTCTTCACGGTAGGCTTATCATATCAACCCATTTGAGCTCACCACAGACAACTTGGAATATGTGTGGGTGGGCAGACATGCTTGGAAGCACATGCTTCAAGAAACTGAAGGTCAGGCCCTTCTGGTGGTCAGTTTGTGCTGAGAAAGCATGAACCATGTTAGCAACATCACCAAGGTTATGCTAACTTAGTGCAACCATAGCACCAATGGGGCCTTCCAATAGCCAAAAAATAGATGCTTGAAAAGACTGGCGTACATTGGAGGGCCGGCATCTCCAGGGCCACCCTGGGGTAACAGGCTGCTACCAGACACCAGGGTTCATATTTTGTTTTTCCAACAAGGGTAGATTAGTGCAGTCTGGGTACCTGGACAGATATGCTTTGAGAAATCCCAGCCGATTTGGTAGACAACTTGGAAGTTATGTGGGTGTTTGAGCAGATATGTTTTGATGAACTAAAAAAATGACATGTGGCTCCACAGAGACACACTTCAGAAAACTGAATAATGCCGGTACATTCTGGAGCCTAGACAGACGTGATTCAAGAATCTCAGACATGATACATGGGTGATGGGGAAGACACTTCGAGAACTGAGATACAGTGGTACAGTAAGATAAGACGCATCCACCATTACTTCGGGATGGAGTAGCTCACCTGTCAATTGTAGCCTTCACCCGTCTGTACCTGGGGTTCTTTGGTGGAGGCTTCAGTTGGACCTGCATAATGATCATCACAGAAGATGTGGCCAATCCCTTGAGCACAGTTGACATATACACTTATATTTTTCTATGAATAATGTTTGCATATTTGTATGTTTGTGTGTGTGTCCTATTTATAATCACCAGATATCAAAACCACAAGGAGTAAAAGGGAGTGCAGGCTGGACACGTTTGTGGTGTAGAGCAGGAGGTGATCACACACCCATTGCAGCGGGACTCTCTTCACCCTGGCCTACAGCCGGGGTTATTTGGCCTAGTGCCTTTTCCGCCTGCAGGACCAGGCCGTCCACCTGATCTCACAGGCCGTAAATTCATTTCTATGGTACTGCTGTCGTACCGTTTGGGCAGTCCAGTCCGTCCGCTGGGAGTATACTCCGGCTGCAGTCTGTTTTCATATTTCATTCTACATCATTCGTGTTTTTTTTTTTTTTTTTTTTTAAAGGGCGACGGCCTTGAGATATTATCATTGAGCTGACCGGCCCCAAGCAATTCATTAGGAGTTGGTTTCGCTTGTCAAGTTCCATCATCTCGATTCGAACACAGGTCTGTATTTCAACAGTTCATGGGTGTACCCACTGAGCTAGGCTCTTGGGTCATCGTACGTGTTTTGGAGTACATTGCAATGTGTGAGTCAGTCGGTGGTGATGTTGTGTCCTTTGTCTGTCTCCATCTCCACCTCCTTCCTCCTCCATGTCAACAGTACGGGATCTGCCACCCAGGCAGTTCCCGGCAGATCCCGTTACGCTGGTGTCGGAGCAGGAACTGTCCCGGCCTCCACCCAGACCACCCTGGTGGATAGACATCGACACTACGGGAGCACGACGAGGCGCATCGGAGTGACAACAGGAACGTTGCCATCGCCGCCCTCTCCATGTCGCCCCACGCACCCTGCGCCCAGTGCACACCAGCCGACACCACGCATCTGCCCCAGAAGCTACTGGCCCCCGCCCACCCTTGATAGTCAGGGCCGAGGCGCTTGTTAGATGCTGCGCCTGCAACATGCTGCACCTGAAACGAGGGCCATTTTCAGGCCCTGTGTTGTTTTCAGCCTAAAAGCCTGAAAACAAGGGCCTACAGGCCCTGTGTCGTTTTCAGCCTAAAAGCCTGAAAACAAGGGCCTACAGGCCCTGTGTCATTTCAGCCTGAAAGCCTGAAAACAAGGGCCTACAGGCCCTGTGTCGTTTCAGCCTAAAACAGGGCCCTTGCAATCAGCACAGCAAACTGGCGACATGCGCCCACTCAAAACTCAGAGATATGGCTTCCAGATACGAGCTCACTTTCAACCGGCCATGGCGACTCAGTGCCCAAACAACGCACTGTTCACACACACTGGATCACCCTGGATATCCCACACGCGTCACTCTGAACACTCGCATATACACACACACACAGTTCTCACTAACTACAGCTATGGCAGCTATGGCTGCCTCTACCCTATCGCTGGGTCGAATACGGGTGTGCATGTGTGTGTGTGTGGGGTGGGGTGGGGTGGGTGTGCGTGTGCGTGTGCGTGTGGGTGGG